TCTTGATTGTCTGCTATATCCAATGATGATCGCTGGTTGACTATTGTAATCTTTTTAGATTTATACTAGCTGTGAATTATTAACCGAAAAACATGTTTGGATTGATTAGCAAAAACTTTGCTTGTTGATCCAACACACACAGGAAAGAAGTGATGTTTTCCCGCCTTGCGCATGCGCAGATGCAGTTTGACAAGGGATAGGGGTTACCTCAAGACTATGGGATAATTGGCAGTGAAGAGGACGTCTGTCGAAAAATCTTAAGATTTTATAGTGTGATTATTGCCAAAATGGGAATTTGTGGCTATGATGTAATAGAGGTAGGATATTCGTAGGAAATATGTTTAATCTCTTGCTTGGTGTTGATGTTATCATATTGTAAGCATCCCAGAGCAAGATACACCAAGTACCAAAACTGTTAAAACGGTTTACAGGGTTAGAGGGTTAGAGAGAGGGGTCGGTTGGTTGGTGGGTCGGTGGAGAGTGCCTACCTCTAAAATGAAAACAGAGATCATATCAGAAGACTACAAATTAGCTGAGAGAATGATAAGGATAAGATCTTATAAAAATTATAATTCACATTCTTGTGTCACTTAACGATACTATCAGGATATAACATTTAAACTAAGGTTTCATATAATAATCAGATCCACAGCAAGGGCTTTTATAAGTTATCATTGGGTAATATTTATTCAACATTTCATATAATTATAGTTTAGCAAGTAATACATATCATCAGGTAAAATGAATATACAAAATATCAGTAGTTTCAGTTATAGTTTTTAGATAGATGCTAGCCTAAGGTAACGGGAACCCATCTCCCAGACATAATATCCAATAAGACAAAAGATATGTCTACGTAGTCTTATAGATTGCCTTGAACTATTTTATTTAAGTAAATATGTCATCACCTATATTAGAACAAGTATTTGTCACAAAGTGACGAAATGTCCCCCGCCGCCTTATGCGATATGTGGTTTTTTTCAAAAAATATTTTATTCCTTTTGAATAATATTATTTTCTGCAAATCAAATTGGCTCATGGCTGCTCATATAGAGACATGTCTGTCATATTTGCATAACAACATGACACAGAAAAAAAAAGAAAGGCAGAATTCTCTTATTGTTTTTCATAGAACACAATAAACATCAAATTAGTTACAAAACCATAATCATACTCCATAACAAGTTCATGCACACCAACCTGTTACATCTTCACCCACACCAAAAAGTGGTCTGTGAAGTATACTGGTACTGGGTCTGTAGGTTCCACACAGGTGCTGTTTGTGAATATCAGATCTAACTGACCTCCTTGAATGTGAGTACTTCTATGAGTTCCTTGAACAAGATGAAGATTAAACTTCATCCGCATGTCACACAGCTTAGTATGATTGTTCATATTGAAGTCTCTAGTCAAAACAGTAACATTATCTCCATGGAAGTTGACAAAGAGCTTCTTCCAGCAGATGGAGAAAGTTACTCATTGCACCTGGGGGTCTATACACTGACACAACCAGAACAGGCTTTGTAGAGTCATTGATATGTGTGGCAATCAGTTCCAGAGAGGTGTCACAGTGAAGATGAGTGAAAGTAAGTTCTGTTTTGATGAGCATTGACACAGCATGTGCAGATACATGGTTCAGAAGTGAATGAGATGGGATTTGATTGTACCTGTGAATCATTTCCTGTTGAAGGTGAGTTTCAGACAGACACAACACTGTCTGTATATACACCATAGTACCAAATATGAAGACAATCCAGCTATAAGTTCTCCAGATATCGCGGCAACACCGTTTTCCAACTCCAAAAGCAGATTTGCCTGCTATGACCTTTAAGGGTTACCGTATTCGACATAATAAGCGCCCAGGGCGCTCTCAAAATTAGAAATAGGGGGCTCTTATTAGAATATATATTTTTGAGTTCAGAGAGCGTAAATTTCGTGGTTTATGCTAAAATGTTTATAAACGACAGATATATTTTTCCAGAAATTAATTGCCCATAATTAAGGGTGCATATAACAAACGTATTATGCACGAATATATAGCCTTGTGTACATTTATCAATCAGAAGGGGTGCTAATTGGAATTGTTCAATAGCCAGTATATTAGAAAATATCGCCGTGGGCGCTTATTAGAGCGGGGCGCTTATTACGTCGAATACGGTAGTTCTTGAGATATCGCGGCAACAAACAGGTGGGACGTACTGACGGTCGTGAATACTATGTCCCCCGCTCTGCGCTTTCGCGCGGCGGGGGACAATAACATTCAGTAATTACTTCAATTTAGACTCATTAAGGATTAGCCCCCATACAAGCTTGTCTATAGTGATACCATAATCTCGTGTATCAACCAATCATATTCCTTTTTATTGTTCTAAGTTTTGTTAAATACATACAGAAGCAAAATCTAAGCAGAAGGGGTTTGACACTCATACCAAGCAGACCTCTCTCCCACAGCTCAGAGGGTTGTACCGACTCTCTGTGGCACCCTCAGCTATATTCTAGAATAGAAACCGTTCAATATTTGTTAAACTTTGCAGGTCTGTCAAGTACATGCTGAACTGGTGCCTTTCGCTATTTAGAAATTTGAGAATGTTTTATTTTTTACGTTTCCATGGCAACAAGATGGACTTAGGTTCTGTGAGGGTAGGGTTCGTTTCAGGAGCATAACTCATAAACCGTTCAAAATTTTTTCATCAAACTTTGCAGGTCTGTCAGGTACATGCTGAACTAGTGCCTTTTGCTATTTAGAAATTTTGGAAATTTTATTTTTTACGTTTCCATGGCAACAAGATTGACTTAGGCTCCAAACTTTTCTTTTTTTTACAATTTCCATGACAACTTTCACCTCGGTTAAAAAAGGTTAGGGTTTGTTTAGATTTAATTATGTCATAAATTCTGCAACAGGGGCGGGGGATATAGCCACGTTAGTGGCAAACTCTTGTTGTTCTTGTAAATAAAATTGTGATTAGTCTCCTGTGACTCCCGCTCTTTGCTGACTAATTCCCCAAAGAAAACCAGCACGCCATTTGGAAGGTTTTGTTCATCCGAATAGAACCATAATAATTAAGCGGAGAATCATCGATTTTGGAACCACGGAGCCCAGGAACTAACTACAACCAGCTACAAGAACCCATTGGAGGACATGTTCAACCGTGATCATCTAATGGAATAACAAGCCTAGCTGCATCCACCTCTGACCTCAACACTGGATTAAAGACAACCAGTTAACTTCTCCAAAGACACCAACCAAGGAAGAAAAAGTCTTCAAATATTGTAAGTACTTCATTACATTGTTGATTACTTGTCTTTCTTTATTTTTAGTATGGAACATACTAATAGGTGTCATGGCAAATATGGAGTCTGGAATGGAAAGTAACTTTGAAAGTGAAATTCCAACAGTGTCTTTAGTTACGCCCCTTGCCAAAAGTGTATTTCAGGCAAAATTTGGTACAAAAACAACAAATTGTTTAGTAGATACAGGGGCATCCATTTGTTGCATTTTGTCTACTTTTCTGAGCACAGCTTTTGAAAACCTTACTCTTGGAAACTCACCCTTTTCAAAGGCTAAAGGTGTTTGCGGCGAATTGCATAAAGTGTTAGGTTCAGTTGTGTTAGATTATGTCATTAAGGATCGGGAATTTTCACAAAGATTCTTCATTCTTCCTACACTACCAAAAGCAGTGATACTAGGTGAGAATTTCCTGGTTGACAATGATGCAGTCTTAGATTATAGCTGTCATTCCTTGATACTTGGCAACAGCATCTCAGATAGGAAATATATCAATTTCATAGCCAATTCGGTGCAAGAGATTTGTGGATTAGCAAAAACAATAGATCAGATTTACACCCCCCCTCAGAGTGAAATTCATTTCAAGGTTAGACTACCAGAGGCAAAAGACGATTCCCTCATTCTCATTGAACCCATTGCTTCCCTCACTGCTCATTCTGAAGTAGCAGTTGGTAGAACTCTTTCTAAAGCAAAAAGCAAAACTGCTACATTTAGGCTTATGAATCCTCCCCAAGAAGAAAAGGGTACAGTTGTAGGCAAAATTAGTTACATTGACAAAGACTCTGTTTTTGAAATAGACTCTGACAAACCATTGATAAATACCACTAACACTGACAATGAGAAGAGAGACAATGACACCAGGGACTATGTTAAAATTGCACAAGAATTAGGATTTGATTTAACCAATACACAACTGACTCCAGACCAATGACACAGACTACTTAGATTTTTTGGACAAAATAGAGACATGTTTTCAAAGAGTCTTGCAGGCTTAGGAAAGACTGACATGCACCAACATATCATTGACACTGGCAACCAACCACCCGTTAAGTGTAGGCCATTTCGCCAATCTCCACATCTCATAAAAGTCACTGAAGAACTTATAGATGATTTTCTGAAGTACGATTTGATAGAGGAGTCCACTTCTATGTATTCAGCTCCCATTATCCTAGTCAAGAAACGTGATGGCTCATATAGATTTGTTTTTGACTATAGAAAGTTGAATTCTGTCACTTTACCAATGTCATGGCCTCTTCCTGTTTTTGATGATGTTGTTGATCACATCGCCAATGCACAAGCTTAGATCTTCTCAACTTTAGACCTTGTTAACTCTTTCACCACTGGCTGCCCCAGAGTTATGTCCCTTGAGACCCTGCAGTCCCTGACACTGACAAGGCCTGTACACTGGCCTCCCTGGCAGTATTATTGGAAAATCACACTATCATTTTTGATGCACTTTTTCTACCAGAAACTTGCTTTTAATATACATTTATCATATACCATTGTAAAGAGGATTAAGTATACTTTAATATTCTTTATTGTTATTGTCTCTAACCTTTGTTATTTTCTAATTACAGGTGTTTACAAGTGAAATAAAACTTGAAAACACTGAAAAAATGAAAACAGACAATGAATTTTGGCTCAAATTGTATTAAAAATCACAAAAATAAATCACAGATACAAGGTAAACATAACACAGTGGTCTTGTCATCTTGGACGGCACAGGTAATCCCAGGTGTTACAGGTAAATTCTCTCCATGCACATCTGTAAACAAATAAACAAGTTTACAACTCTTGGTACTGACTTTGTTTTCTATACTGATGTCACATATTACTTATGATACACTTACAGCCTCTTAGGTAAACTCGTTAACACAGGTAAACTTGTTAACGCAGGTAAACTTGTTAACACAGGTAAAAACACAAATATTTGATTTATTTTGTTCTTTTCAGGATTTGAAACAAAAATTAAGTTTTTAAGTTTTTAAATAGTAATTTATCACATTACCTGAACATTGAACCACAGCTACTATAAGAATGACATCACAGAGAAGATATCACAGATTGATCTGAAAGGAGGGAAAAATTGTAAAAGGACGGAAAGATCGTAAATTCAAGTTCTGCAAATATACAAGTTGTGATAACATATTTACAATACACTGTTATTTACAACTGCATAATAAATTAGATGAGTACTTTATTACATCAATTAATAAATAAATAATCATTACAGTTACTAAAATTTAAATTAAGATGTAAAAAACAAGAAAACAAACATGAATATGGAAATAAATTTTATTCAAATTGAGCGAAATATAAGGACATACGACAAACCGGCAAACTACAATTCGGATTGCGATCAGAAACTTAAATTTTAAAAAAAAGAAAGAGATACGTCATGCCATTCACCTTTGTTGTTGTTGTGATCGCTCGTTCACCTGTAGGCTGCATTCTCATTCGTCGCACTGATAATCTGTTCAAACACAGAATCATTGTAAAACAGTTGGAAAAAATCAATAGCACGATATTTCACTCACCGTGTCAATATATATTCTTGAGTCCGGTCGCCTCTTCAAAATCCCTCATGTCTCCACCGTTGTGGTCCCTCTGCCACTCCCATTCTTGGCGGGGGGGGGGGGGGGACACCTCGTCGAAACCGTCAAAATCTTCACCAAAATCTTCACGGAATTCCCTCTCCCCTTCACGTAAATTATTCAAATCAAACACATTATTATTCCCGATAGAGTCGTTGTTAGTCATCTGATCGCTATCCGAATCGTAGTTGGACGCCATTACGCTAGATTTACGATTCAAGCGAGAAAAATACCTGTCGCAAAAACAGGTGACATTCGCGATTTTCACGCCAAAAAGACTGGGAAATTCCATCGAATGACGTGTCAATCACGTGTAGATCTCGTTTCCATATTTAGAACAAGATTACACACGAGAAAGGAAGTTGAAAGAGCGATTTTGTAAACACGGTCGCGCCGCCCGATTTATCGGGCAGCCGTGTGTGGGGCTTGGACAATAGCCGCCCGATTTTTCGGGCAGCCGGGTCCTGGGACACGGTTTATGCGGCCCGATAAATCGGGCAGTCGGGGCGAAAGGGTTAATGGCTTCTTCCAAGTGCCACATGAAGATTCAAAGCATAAAACTGCTTTTGTCACCCATCAAGGACTTTATCAGTTTAAACGTTTGCCCCAAGGTTTGACAAATTCTCCGCTTTGTTTTCAGCAGCTCATGAGCAAAGTAATAAGAAAGTTGCGTTTTAAGGTTGCGCAGATTTACATTGAGGATTTGATAATTTACAGTAAAATCTTTGAAGAGCATCTCCAGCCATAAAATCTTTGAAGAGCATCTCCAGCATTTGGAGCAAGTATTTTACTATCTGAAACAGGCAAAATTAACACTAAAGCCATCCAAATGCAATTTTGCAACAGACAAAGTTTCTTTTCTGGGTCATGTTTTATCATGTGGAGGTGTTCAAGTTGATGACAAAAAGATTGAAGCAATTAGAACCTTTCCAGTGCCCAAATCACAAAAGCAGATTTGTTCCTTCTTAGGCCTCACAAACTTCTACAGGAAGTATGTGAAAAATTACGCTCACATAGCGCTTCCACTGAATGCTTTGCTTTGAGGCAGGAGGAGGAAAGAAACCAAAGTTCCAATGGTCACTTGAGTGTGATCAGGCATTCAACACACTCAAATATGCTATGAGTAATACACCTGTTCTGGCTTATCCAAATTTTAACAAAGAATCTCTTCTCGCAACTGATGCCAGTGATATGAGCATAGGTTTTGTTTTGAGTCAAAAAGATGAGAAAAATAAAGAACATCCAATAGCTTTTGGTGTTAGAGCTCTTCATGGCAGCGAAAAGAACTGGAGCATTACAGAAAAGGAAGGCTTAGCTCTAGTTGAAGCAATTAGATCATTTCGTCCATACCTTGCAAATTCCAAATTCACAGTCTACACTGATCATATAGCATTGAAATGGCTGAAATCCATCAAGGATGCCACAGGTAGGTTAGGGCGATGGTCTTTGGAACTTTCTACCTACAATTTTGACATTGTTCACCGCAGGGGCAAAGCCAATGCGAATGCCGATGCTCTCTCACGTAGGGAATATGAGGAAAATATTAACTGTAGTGACCAAACTGAAGAAGATGCTGAGAAAACAGTCATCTCAGTAACTTCAACTCAGCAAAGCAAATTAACTAGCAATACCACAATCTTGCCAAACACACATTCATCAACACAGGTCACACAGACAACTCAGATGAGGATATTTGCACACCTATTGTCAATCACTTTGAATCAGACACACAGACAACACATTGGTCAGTCACCTTTGAATATGAAGAGGATTATCAGTCTGTACCAGTTAATGTTGTTGCAGCATTACAATCTACAAATACTGATGGTTGAGGTAAGTATAAAAGAACATCCAAACTTACGTCATCGACAAAGGATTTGTCCAGGTTTCATCCAAATCTTTTACTACAAAGAGGATGATGTCCTCCACAAGAAGAAAAGGATCGTCAAAAGATTCTTATTGAAGCCAATACTTTTGAAATTGATGAAGGCATCCTATACAGATTCATTCCACAAAGACAGAAAGGCCATGCTGACAAGTTCATTAAACAGCTGGCAGTCCCAAGAACCCTCAGGAATCAAGTCCTGCAATTCTACCATGACTCAGAGTTTGGCAGTTGCCACCACGGGAAAGAAAGGATGCACAACACCATTAGACTTGCTGATCGTCCACAGTCCTCCAGAACCATACCTCAATGACACCAGTAACATAGATTCAGGAGTCATGGATGACAATGAGGAACCAGTCAATGATACTCAGCTTGACAGCAACAATTCCCCATCAACAAGTTCAACTTACCAAGCCACTGATCAATCACCTCCAGGACAGAAAGGTAACAAGGACAATTCAAAAACTAAGGCAGGCACTTCCAGCAACAAGAATTTAAAGCAAAAGACCCCAACAAAGAAGAAAAACCTTGCTCCAAATACAACAGCAAAACAACTTGACAACAGCCAGGTACAACCTCCAAGTCAGAGTCCAACATCAGGTAATCAAACCAAAGATATCCCTCAGGTTTTCAATCCAGAGGACATCCACTCAATTGTAAGTTCCAAGAGAGCAAATAGCAAAATCTACTACAGAGTGAAATGGAAGGATCCAGAAAGAGGGAGTATGGCAGCAGTATTCCAGACTCCATTCGGAGAGAATTTCACCTTAAAAGAAGAATGTCAGGAAATCAACAAAAACGTCCACTGAAGAATCATAAGTTTTTTGACCAAAAGGAATCAGCACAAGACAATACATCAGTCAATGTTCTGTCAGGGAATGTCGAGCAAAACAACACCAAACCATGCATAGAATTAGATGTCAAACCATATCCATTTATTCCAAAACACCTGCGAGAAGTAGAAGTAGATTATTCAATAAAGAGAGTTATGCATTGAAATTATTCCAGGGGACTGCAATGTCAAGGTCTCATATACCCACAACAAGGATAACCATGATTGCCTCACACACTATTTTGAAAGTGTTCCTCCCCACCTCATACAGCGCTACCTTGATGACAGCTGGAAGGATTTCTCACAGTGGTTCTATGGAGAAAAGCCTCAAGAATATCATCCGTATGAACTGGCTGAACTACCAATTTATAAATCCAAAAGGGTTATTTTTCCACATAAAGACTTGGGAAACATCAACACATTTTTCTACCACATACCATAGACCTAGTCGACCATACCAGGATCAACTCCCCATACATACCTGAAGATGCCAAATGAAAATATTCTTGTGCAAAATACAACATCTCCTGAATAAACAGAGCAAATCACTAAACAGCTATTAGCTGTATCTTGTGATCTTTACTTGTGTCCAGTCTTTTCACTTTGGGTCACCAGTTTCACCAGTTGGGAACAAATGGCATCAGCCTGATCATCTGAGTTATTTGTATCACAACAAATTTTGAGCATTGACCTGATCAACCAATCTCAAAAGCGACGTGAAAAGAGCCAAAGCGAACAATACCAAATCGAAACGAGCCAAACCGAAGCAAACCGTACCATAAATTGAAACAAACCATACCGAATTGAAATGAACCAAACCAAAGCAAACCGTACTACAAATCAAACCGGAACCATACCGAAGCAGTAGTGATGATGGGGGTTCTGGCTCACTTCCACTCGAGCCAGATTTATATACCTATACTGCTACTACAGATGGATTTTTTTATGTCAAAACGCTGATGCGATTCAACGATCGTCATAAGTCGTATTAAAAGAAACATCAATATTAATTAATAATGAATAAAATTTGCTATAGCCCACGAGGATATTGGAAAGGTAAAGGAGCAATACAAAAATTAGCCACTCCGACTAAGGTATCTAAAGATGTGGCCAAGGATTGGCTAAAGAAACAAGCGATGTGGCAAATATACTTACCAGCACAGCGTTATATACCGAGGAAGAAGTTTGATATTTTTACAACGAATGAAGTTCATCAGGCTGACCTCTTGTTTGTTCCCCATGATAAGGTAAGACGCAAAACGTATAAATACGCTTTAACCGTAGTGGATGTGGCTAGTCGATACAAAGAAGCTGAGCCATTAACCTCGAAAGATTCAACAGAAGGAGCTAATGCACTGAGTCGTATTTATAAACGTGGACCACTAAAATGGCCCAAGTTATTTCAAGTAGATCCCGGTCGCAAGTTTATGGGATCAGTAACTAAACTATTAACAAAGCACACTGTCGAAATCAGGCGTGGTGAAAAAGAGGCCCACCGTAGTCAAGCTATCGTTGAAAGATTTAACCGGACATGAGCGGAACGTTTGTTTGGATATCAGTATGGGATCGAAATGAAATCGGATCAGTTAAGATCAACCGAATTGGTGACACGATTATCAGCCGTTGCATCAGCGCTGAATAATGAAGTAACAAGATTAATCGGGAAGAAACCATCCGATGCCATTAAAATGAAATCTGTGACTTCCGAATCTTCAGCACCGAGGAGAGGCAAAGAACAAAAACTTCTAGATAGAGTAAGCGTAAGATATTTATACCAGCCTGGTGAACTCGAAGGAGGCCTACGTCGCGCAACTGATCCGATTTGGTCCCTTAAAACATATAACATTAGTCGACTGGTTATGAAAGAAGGAGAGCCCAGTCTTTATTATCTTAAAGATGGACCGGGCAGGGCATTTGTACGAGAAGAGTTGCTCATAGTTCCGAACGATACAGTATTACCACCATCCTTATCAATCCATCTCTTTGTAACTAAGGGGGATAATGATGTCTTGTTCATTCTTAATCCATATATCCTGTGATTGACACTTCTTAAAGAGTTCATCTCGTGTTTGAATGTTCTACCGTTGAAAAATTCCTTCTTTATACTGTTCGTGTTTGATATGCTTTTTTACCACATACTTCTTAACACCCTCAGCTTTTCTTATCTCCCCATTATCGGACTTCTTTATAGAATACATCTTGGGTCTTAATCCAACATACTCCGCTATAGGGGTCCCAGCACATTCATCCTTCATCTTACCTAACACCTTTTTATTTACTACGCTGTGCAGTGGATTATCTTTTGGGTAATCGCTTGTGTCGTCCATATCTATTTTTCTGCCATATCTTTTTACACATCCTCGGTTTGTATTTCCATCAACAAAGAATCCGTGTCGGTATATAACACCTCACATCTATCACCGTATTGCTTCTTACGTTCGTTGTAATAAAAGTCATACATTAAGTGTTTTGACAAGTCAAGAATACTCATACCAACGTACACCGGTCTGTTGAATTTTATATTACTCTTCTGCATATGCAACGCGGCTAAGTCGTTATCAAATATCTTGCTTCTGTTAAAAGTCGGACTGGCTATTAGTTTCCTGAGTCTTTCTTCCTCATTAGATCTGACTAATTTAACATCAACACGCTTCCTTAGATTCTCCTTAGTTTTACCAAATACTGAGTTATTTATGAGCTTATATAGGTTCTTTTCAAAATTGCTGGTAGCTATCTTTCTTAAATCTGTGTTCAACCTTATATAGGGCTCCATCCAAGGGCTTTGATCAAACTTTAGAACTCTGTGTATTTTCTTTAGTTTCATACCTAACGATAGATATAACTCGAGATTTCTGTAGTGAACTATATATTTTGTCTTATCCACCAAATTTGGTACGAGTTTTTCTACGTTAGCTAACCTTGTATTACCCATCAAGGAGTGTTGACATCCAATCTTTATTAACCATTAATCTTTTGGGTGCTAGCGGATAACTATTATGGTCTTTATGTAACGAAGTTGGATTTTCCAAGTCAACTTCTAGTATGTACCCTTTATCAGAATCTGAGGGGATATCATTCACTTCGATATGATTCACCCACTCAAAACCACCCGTGTATAAAGGTTGACTCATAGCCCATCCGTACAAATTGTTGGCGTTGAGATATAATATGTGTGTGTTGGGTTTACTCGGATCATATCCTTCCACTAATTTATTATTAGCCTTAGAATACCTTTTCGTTGTCATCGATATACCACCTTTTAATCCTTTCTCAATAAACAAGTGCATATCATAATCAGTGAGTAGTTTTAGTTCTACACCGGTCTTCTTCAACAATGCATGCCACGATAGTCCGGGACTGGAATAGTACCATGCCGGGTCCAAGCCGTATTGTTTTAAACATGTCTTTCTAAATATCTCGAATATATCGGCGACTAACAGTACATCGGTTTTTAAGTACAGATCGTGATAATCTAAATTCTTACAACTTAATTTATCCCAGACCGCCAGAGCGTGTTCATAATCGGCATCAGTTAATTTAGATTCTGTTAAGTTACTATAGAATGATTCAAGGGGTGGTAATTTAGTTTAGACCAATCATCCATATATTCGTAAGGATATACACCTTTTCTCAACAACAAATGATGACATCGATCGGTTTATTGATTTGTTATTGCAAAGTCATCAAGATTGTTCGCATTAGCTAAATTGTCCAGGGAAGATAACAGAAACTGTAAGGAGTCTATGAATCTAAGCCCATTACTTTGCTTTATTCTGGTTTTCCTACCTTGTCCGTATAATGTATAGTTTTAGTCAACGAGAAAGATATGTATTTTCCCATATTATTAGGAATACACGTTAAACCGCCGTCGGTCTTTGAGATAGCTTGCATGATGAGATGTGAATTATATCCTCTAAGGTTGTGAAACACAACGGGGATGGGTATTGTTTGAGAATTCATTTTTAGTTTCAAGTTACACTCCCCGATCATTACCCGTGACGTGACAATGATCTCTTACGGAATCCCCATTGAGTGGTTTATTACAAACATGACAAATCGTTGACTTCTTATAGGACCGTCAATCATCCCTCGTCATACACATGGGTTTCTTAAACGATTAATTTTCCCTGATTATTCTCCCTTTGTTTTGTAGGTATTCTAGGAACTTTCCCGCTGCATCGGGGCCTCTATAAATCACGGGCGGGTTTGTTTTCCCATCATACCTTACAACTATATATCCAAACCCACAAGGAATATATTCTTGAGTTTTGTACGTAAAACTACCTTCAGTATTGAGTTCGGTATTTTCTATAGGTTTGATAAGTGCTTCGAAGTCAGCGTAAATTACGTACGGTACTGGCATTTGATTACAATAATGTTCAAATTTTAGTATATTTTCTTCCTCTTTAGGCATATCGATCCTGATAGCGGTCTGTCCAACACCTCTACAGTCTTCTTTATGCGCTTCTAATAGATCCTGTCTGCTGAAATATTTCTTTTCTTTATGGGTTGTTTGATCGTATAATAGTCTGCTTAAACTCTTTATCCATGTATAATGATATTTACCATCTTTTTCGATTAGAAATGAATTGATCTAGGAATATGTTCCGGAGCGGAGCTTATCCTGTGTACAACAATTCCTTCAGAAGAATGTCCGAAAACATTTATAGCTAAATTATTTCGCTTTTCCACCTTATCAATTTGTGAGATTGGTGTAGGTTCGTCTATACCATCAAAGTTGAGTCCATCGCTTTGGGGATAGCTAGGTCTATCTGGATTTTTGTCTATGGGGGAACAATGCAGATCTTATTGTAATTCTGAAACAGTCATCACCTTTCTTTTTTACATTAATTATGGCTTTTTTCTTTTTATAATACGGGGGTAAATCTATATAAGATCCACCTTTGAAAGGCATATAATTTGCTATATCTAAATATAAACTATCGATTTTATCCACACCCCAACCCGAACCTCTATTAGTCCAGCATTCTAAAGTTTCTTGTATCCTCTGAATTGATGTATCTAATGATGTGTTTATAGTATCAGATTCGGTTATAACTTCTTGCTCGCCTCGGAAATAAGGTTTGGTATATTTATTGTACTCAATGACATTTTAACCGTCAGGTGGTATTTTATACTATTAAAATCATCCAACTCCTTGTTAATTTTGCTCAATACGATGGGCTTAACATCATTAACATCCATGTTGGAATTAATATCCATCTTCAAACCTCTTACATATTTACCCACACCGTCTGAGAATACAAATTTTAACTCATCAACTGGTTGATTTTTATCAACATCATCTAGTTGTTTTTTATCAACATCATCTGGTTGATTTTTATCTAGTAAAGCGATCAATTCAGCTTTTCTCATTCAAGAATAACCCCTCAGCCCACTTTTTTTCGCTCGAGCTTTGAGTTCTCTAACAATCTGGGGTTTGTTGTATTCCAAACCAAGTAGATCGATCAATTCAGCTCTTCTCATTCGAGAATGACCACGTAGACCACGTTGTTTTGCCAAAGCTTTCAACTCTCTGACATAAACCATTGTGGTATATATACAAAATGAGACATTTGTCTAAATGGTTATATTTCCTTATATCTTATTCTCCCGAACCTATTCCTCTCGTTGATGTAATCTCTCTTCCTAGTGTAAATAATCTGCTTCCTAACCCTATCAGCGCCGTGTTACTTACATAAACAATAACGACATCTGACACCTATCCCACATACAGAACACGTATAATTTACATTTCCTTGTCTGATGTAAAAAGCGTGAGTACCATAATATACACCAACGTATGGTTTCTGACATTGAATTGGCTTCCCCATGAGTGTATATCTGCACAGATTCATGATTATACACCTATCATATCATCTGTCTAAATGAAAAGCACATATTGAGTCTCTCAACCAGCC